TCATTCTACGTGGTGGTGACTTTACCGAAAGAACCAAAGAAGATGAATCCCTGCAGTCACGAAAGCTTCGAATCAACAGATGAGATTTCTCTTCTTTGGTTCTTTCGGTAAAGTCACCACGTAGAATGAGAATAAAATAATAAATTGATAAAATAAAATAACACAATAATATTCTCACGACGTTTCAGCCACAACACAAGCGGCCTTCATCAGGTGAAGGGACGAGACTCGTCGAAACGTCGTGAGAATATTATTGAGTTATTTTATTTTATCAATTTATTATTTTATTCTCATTCTACGTGGTGGTGACTTTACCGAAAGAACCAAAGAAGATGAATCCCTGCAGTCACGAAAGCTTCGAATCAACAGATGAGATTTCTCTTCTTTGGTTCTTTCGGTAAAGTCACCACGTAGAATGAGAATAAAATAATAAATTGATAAAATAAAATAACACAATAATATTCTCACGACGTTTCAGCCACAACACAAGCGGCCTTCATCAGGTGAAGGGACGAGACTCGTCGAAACGTCGTGAGAATATTATTGAGTTATTTTATTTTATCAATTTATTATTTTATTCTCATTCTACGTGGTGGTGACTTTACCGAAAGAACCAAAGAAGATGAATCCCTGCAGTCACGAAAGCTTCGAATCAACAGATGAGATTTCTCTTCTTTGGTTCTTTCGGTAAAGTCACCACGTAGAATGAGAATAAAATAATAAATTGATGAAATAAAATAACACAATAATATTCTCACGACGTTTCAGCCACAACACAAGCGGCCTTCATCAGGTGAAGGGACGAGACTCGTCGAAACGTCGTGAGAATATTATTGAGTTATTTTATTTTATCAATTTATTATTTTATTCTCATTCTACGTGGTGGTGACTTTACCGAAAGAACCAAAGAAGATGAATCCCTGCAGTCACGAAAGCTTCGAATCAACAGATGAGATTTCTCTTCTTTGGTTCTTTCGGTAAAGTCACCACGTAGAATGAGAATAAAATAATAAATTGATGAAATAAAATAACACAATAATATTCTCACGACGTTTCAGCCACAACACAAGCGGCCTTCATCAGGTGAAGGGACGAGACTCGTCGAAACGTCGTGAGAATATTATTGAGTTATTTTATTTTATCAATTTATTATTTTATTCTCATTCTACGTGGTGGTGACTTTACCGAAAGAACCAAAGAAGATGAATCCCTGCAGTCACGAAAGCTTCGAATCAACAGATGAGATTTCTCTTCTTTGGTTCTTTCGGTAAAGTCACCACGTAGAATGAGAATAAAATAATAAATTGATAAAATAAAATAACACAATAATATTCTCACGACGTTTCAGCCACAACACAAGCGGCCTTCATCAGGTGAAGGGACGAGACTCGTCGAAACGTCGTGAGAATATTATTGAGTTATTTTATTTTATCAATTTATTATTTTATTCTCATTCTACGTGGTGGTGACTTTACCGAAAGAACCAAAGAATATGAATCCCTGCAGTCACGAAAGCTTCGAATCAACAGATGAGATTTCTCTTCTTTGGTTCTTTCGGTAAAGTCACCACGTAGAATGAGAATAAAATAATAAATTGATAAAATAAAATAACACAATAATATTCTCACGACGTTTCAGCCACAACACAAGCAGCCTTCATCAGGTGAAGGGACGAGACTCGTCGAAACGTCGTGAGAATATTATTGAGTTATTTTATTTTATCAATTTATTATTTTATTCTCATTCTACGTGGTGGTGACTTTACCGAAAGAACCAAAGAATATGAATCCCTGCAGTCACGAAAGCTTCGAATCAACAGATGAGATTTCTCTTCTTTGGTTCTTTCGGTAAAGTCACCACGTAGAATGAGAATAAAATAATAAATTGATAAAATAAAATAACACAATAATATTCTCACGACGTTTCAGCCACAACACAAGCAGCCTTCATCAGGTGAAGGGACGAGACTCGTCGAAACGTCGTGAGAATATTATTGAGTTATTTTATTTTATCAATTTATTATTTTATTCTCATTCTACGTGGTGGTGACTTTACCGAAAGAACCAAAGAAGATGAATCCCTGCAGTCACGAAAGCTTCGAATCAACAGATGAGATTTCTCTTCTTTGGTTCTTTCGGTAAAGTCACGTAGAATGAGAATAAAATAATACATTGATAAAATAAAATAACACAATAATATTCTCACGACGTTTCAGCCACAACACAAGCGGCCTTCATCAGGTGAAGGGACGAGACTCGTCGAAACGTCGTGAGAATATTATTGAGTTATTTTATTTTATCAATTTATTATTTTATTCTCATTCTACGTGGTGGTGACTTTACCGAAAGAACCAAAGAAGATGAATCCCTGCAGTCACGAAAGCTTCGAATCAACAGATGAGATTTCTCTTCTTTGGTTCTTTCGGTAAAGTCACCACGTAGAATGAGAATAAAATAATAAATTGATAAAATAAAATAACTCAATAATATTCTCACGACGTTTCAGCCACAACACAAGCGGCCTTCATCAGGTGAAGGGACGAGACTCGTCGAAACGTCGTGAGAATATTATTGAGTTATTTTATTTTATCAATTTATTATTTTATTCTCATTCTACGTGGTGGTGACTTTACCGAAAGAACCAAAGAAGATGAATCCCTGCAGTCACGAAATCTTCGAATCAACAGATGAGATTTCTCTTCTTTGGTTCTTTCGGTAAAGTCACCACGTAGAATGAGAATAAAATAATAAATTGATAAAATAAAATAACACAATAATATTCTCACGACGTTTCAGCCACAACACAAGCGGCCTTCATCAGGTGAAGGGACGAGACTCGTCGAAACGTCGTGAGAATATTATTGAGTTATTTTATTTTATCAATTTATTATTTTATTCTCATTCTACGTGGTGGTCACTTTACCGAAAGAACCAAAGAAGATGAATCCCTGCAGTCACGAAAGCTTCGAATCAACAGATGAGATTTCTCTTCTTTGGTTCTTTCGGTAAAGTCACCATGTAGAATGAGAATAAAATAATAAATTGATAAAATAAAATAACACAATAATATTCTCACGACGTTTCAGCCACAACACAAGCGGCCTTCATCAGGTGAAGGGACGAGACTCGTCGAAACGTCGTGAGAATATTATTGAGTTATTTTATTTTATCAATTTATTATTTTATTCTCATTCTACGTGGTGGTGACTTTACCGAAAGAACCAAAGAAGATGAATCCCTGCAGTCACGAAAGCTTCGAATCAACAGATGAGATTTCTCTTCTTTGGTTCTTTCGGTAAAAGTCACCACGTAGAATGAGAATAAAATAATAAATTGATAAAATAAAATAACACAATAATATTCTCACGACGTTTCAGCCACAACACAAGCGGCCTTCATCAGGTGAAGGGACGAGACTCGTCGAAACGTCGTGAGAATATTATTGAGTTATTTTATTTTATCAATTTATTATTTTATTCTCATTCTACGTGGTGGTGACTTTACCGAAAGAACCAAAGAAGATGAATCCCTGCAGTCACGAAAGCTTCGAATCAACAGATGAGATTTCTCTTCTTTGGTTCTTTCGGTAAAGTCACCACGTAGAATGAGAATAAAATAATAAATTGATAAAATAAAATAACACAATAATATTCTCACGACGTTTCAGCCACAACACAAGCGGCCTTCATCAGGTGAAGGGACGAGACTCGTCGAAACGTCGTGAGAATATTATTGAGTTATTTTATTTTATCAATTTATTATTTTATTCTCATTCTACGTGGTGGTGACTTTACCGAAAGAACCAAAGAAGATGAATCCCTGCAGTCACGAAAGCTTCGAATCAACAGATGAGATTTCTCTTCTTTGGTTCTTTCGGTAAAGTCACCACGTAGAATGAGAATAAAATAATAAATTGATAAAATAAAATAACACAATAATATTCTCACGACGTTTCAGCCACAACACAAGCGGCCTTCATCAGGTGAAGGGACGAGACTCGTCGAAACGTCGTGAGAATATTATTGAGTTATTTTATTTTATCAATTTATTATTTTATTCTCATTCTACGTGGTGGTGACTTTACCGAAAGAACCAAAGAAGATGAATCCCTGCAGTCACGAAAGCTTCGAATCAACAGATGAGATTTCTCTTCTTTGGTTCTTTCGGTAAAGTCACCACGTAGAATGAGAATAAAATAATAAATTGATAAAATAAAATAACACAATAATATTCTCACGACGTTTCAGCCACAACACAAGCGGCCTTCATCAGGTGAAGGGACGAGACTCGTCGAAACGTCGTGAGAATATTATTGAGTTATTTTATTTTATCAATTTATTATTTTATTCTCATTCTACGTGGTGGTGACTTTACCGAAAGAACCAAAGAAGATGAATCCCTGCAGTCACGAAAGCTTCGAATCAACAGATGAGATTTCTCTTCTTTGGTTCTTTCGGTAAAGTCACCACGTAGAATGAGAATAAAATAATAAATTGATGAAATAAAATAATACAATAATATTCTCACGACGTTTCAGCCACAACACAAGCGGCCTTCATCAGGTGAAGGGACGAGACTCGTCTAAACGTCGTGAGAATATTATTGAGTTATTTTATTTTATCAATTTATTATTTTATTCTCATTCTACGTGGTGGTGACTTTACCGAAAGAACCAAAGAATATGAATCCCTGCAGTCACGAAAGCTTCGAATCAACAGATGAGATTTCTCTTCTTTGGTTCTTTCGGTAAAGTCACCACGTAGAATGAGAATAAAATAATAAATTGATAAAATAAAATAACACAATAATATTCTCACGACGTTTCAGCCACAACACAAGCGGCCTTCATCAGGTGAAGGGACGAGACTCGTCGAAACGTCGTGAGAATATTATTGAGTTATTTTATTTTATCAATTTATTATAGATGAATCCCTGCAGTCACGAAAGCTTCGAATCAACAGATGAGATTCCGTTCGCGATCAGGAAGTGGCGGCCGCTCACCTTGGTACCCGGCTGCGATCATCAGCTCCTGGTTCAGGTTGTTGTCGAACAGGTAGCACGAGGACTTTAAGAAGACGTTTTTGCCGCAGCTCAGACGCCCCAGCGGAGCGCAGGCCTGAGACGCGGAGATCAGAGCCATCGCCATCGCCGGCGTCATCATCATCATCATCATTGTCATCATCATCATCATCGTCGTCGTCACAGTAGTAGGCTTTTGCGATCAATATGATCCATCATAGAGTTGTTGTTTTTTACATCATTAGACCTCCTTTGCCAGTACCAAAATGTAATAATAATAATAATAGAGAGGGTTTTTCCTACTTTTTTCTGGCTACAAAACTGAAACCTTTTTTTTACCGAGGATTCATGTTTACCGCGTTAACCACAATACCTGCAGTCAAAATGCAAACAAAAAAACATACACACTATCATAATATATACGATGCATTGTCCTTGACACTGATTGGTCCATGCATGGCAGTGGCCAAATACTCAGATACATAGAGACCCATAGATACACAGAGACCCACAGAGATACATAGAGACCCTTAGAGACACAGAGACTCACACAGATACATAGAGACCCATAGATACACAGAGACTCACACAGATACATAGAGACCCATAGATACACAGAGACCCACACAGATACATAGAGACCCATAGAGACACAGAGACCCACACAGATACATAGAGACCCATAGATACACAGAGACTCACACAGATACATAGAGACCCATAGAGACACAGAGACTCACACAGATCCATAGAGACCCATAGAGACACAGAGACTCACACAGATACATAGAGACCCATAGAGACACAGAGACTCACACAGATACACAGAGACCCCCATAGATACACAGAGACCCACACAGATACATAGAGACTCATAGATACACAGAGACTCACACAGATACATAGAGACCCATAGAGACACAGAGACTCACACAGATACATAGAGACCCATAGATACACAGAGACCCACACAGATACATAGAGACCCATAGATACACAGAGACTCACACAGGTACATAAAGATCCATAGAGACACAGAGACTCACACAGATACATAGAGACCCATAGAGACACAGAGACTCACACAGATACAAAGAGACCCATAGAGACACAGAGACTCACACAGATACACAGAGACCCCCATAGATACACAGAGACCCACACAGATACATAGAGACCCATAGATACACAGAGACTCACACAGATACATAGAGACCCATAGAGACACAGAGACTCACACAGATACATAGAGACCCATAGATACACAGAGACTCACACAGATACATAGAGACCCATAGATACACAGAGACTCACACAGATACATAGAGACCCATAGAGACACAGA